GTAACAGCACGCTTGGAGAAAAGTGGAGCTTTCCTGCAACTTTCTCTCGGTAAAGAAGTCATGCGGCCCGCAGAGGGGTACAGCTAATCTTGTGCTTTCCAACTTATGGGGTGGCTGTAGATAGGTAGATAGGCAGATAAGATAGGTAGCTAGATCGATAGATGGGTAGGAGCCAGGTGCGTGAGTAGAGAAGCAGAAAGGTGGACAAGCAGTAAGGTCGAGAGAAACAACAACGAACGACAGGCATATGGATAGATACAGAGCGCGCGAGAGAGAGAGACAGAGAGAGAGTTGAGAGAGACGGATAGTGAGATAGAGAGGGAGGGAGGAGAAGCGAGAGAAAGAGAGAGAGAGAGAGAGACAGAGAGACAGAGGGACAGACAGACAGACAGCTAGCTAGCTAGCTAGCCAGCCAGCCAGCCCGGATTTTGCCAACAGAACTCTGATAGATCTTGACCTCTGAAAATAAGGCCTTGGACTGATGGAGCGCCCGTGATTTTTAATGAGACCTCTTACAGATCTTGAACCCCGAGGGTGGTGCCTTGGACTGATGGGTCGCCCTAATTTTCAAGGCAGAACCTTTAAAGGTCTTGAACTCCGAGAAACGGCCCTTGAAGTGATGGGCGCCCCTGATTCTTTTAAACCGAACTCTGATAGATCTTGAACTCCACGGATAAGGCATTGGACTGATCGAGCGCCCCTGATTTTTAAATCAGAACCCTCACAGGTCTTGAGCTGCGAGGGTGGGGCCTTGGACTGGTGAGTCGCCCCTGATTCTATAATCAGAACTCTTATAGATCTTGAACTCCGAGGATAGAGCCTTGCACTGATGGCGCACCCCTGATGACCTCTGAGAATAAGGCCTTGGACTGATGGAGCCCCCCTGACTTTTGTTTCGTCTTCGGGGGCGAATTTCGTCTTCAGGGCGGCATTTCGTCTTCGCGGCCGAGTATCGTCTTCGGGGCCGAATTTCGTCTTCGCGGCCGAATTTCGTCTTCAGGTCCGATTTTCGTCTTCGCGGCCGAATTGCGTCTTCGGGGCCGAATTTCGTCTTCGCGCTCGAATTTCGTCTTAAGGGCCGAATTTCGTCTTCGCGGCCGAATGTCGTCTTCGGGGCCGAATGTCGTCTCCTCTTCAGAGAAGCATGCCGGAGCATAGATGATCATAGAACGCTCAGTACGTCTGTCTTCGGGCCGATTTTCGTCTTCAGGACGAATTTCGTCTTCAGGGCCGAATTTCGTCTTCAGCGTGCCCCAAACGGAATCTCGTCTTCACATTTCGTCATCGCGCACAATTTGAGCTTCAGCTCCTTGCGAACGATTTCGTCTTCAAAAGCTTCGGAATTTCGGCTTCAGGGGGGGACGAAACCGGGACCCACTTTCCCGGGTCAATGCACATGTTGACAATAACTGTCGAACTGCCGTACCAGCAGCAGGGGCCGGGAAGGCATTTTCTTCAAGCAGATTTTTGAGACGGTGCTTTCAAAACTCACACTCAAAGTACCATCTGGCGGCATCTGCACTCATTATGAGATGATTGAAGACCACTGTTTGCCTACCTGCAACCAATTCGGCTTCAAAATTCACGACTCTGAGGCAAACGCTCCGGCCGGAAAGCCGACAACAAGTTCGGCAGCTTTGGGTTGTCCTCGAATGCCTCGCTGAGTCCAGGCTTCTAGTGCCGACTGCAGGTACTGAGCGACACTTCACTCGGCAGTGCTTGGCTAGCGACAGCCAAAAACTTAGGAACGACGAAGGACATCTGGTAGGAGCTTCAGCAGCTAGCCCATCCGGGCAACAACAAAACTGCCTTCGTCATGGGCTCGAGAAGGAAGCCTTGAAGGATACATCCTGACAGCCGTCGCACTATCACTCTGACTATAACTAGGCATCCTCGCACAGCTACTAAACGACGACGACGACTGCTGCTGCTGCTGCTGCTACTTACTACTACTACTACTACTACTACTACTACTACTACTACTACTACTGCTACCACTGCTACTACTACTACTACTACTACTACTACTACTCCCACTACTGCTACTACTACTACTACTACTACCACCACCGCCACCACTGCTACCACCACCACCACCACGACCACGACCACGACCACCACCACCACCACGACTACTACTACTACTACTACTACTACTACTACTACTACGACGACTACTACGACTACTACGACTACTACGACGCTTACGACGACGACTACTACTACGACTACTACTACTACTACTACTACTACTACTACTACTACTACTACTACTACTACTGGTACCTACTAACAATAAAAATCTGCTAGTCTTGCTTGCATTTTCTCGCAACACTTGCGAGGCTGCTACTGCTGCTGGCACCATCGCAAGGCAGAAATTTCTTGATCGGCCAGCACCAAATCATACCAAATCACTCCTGCACGACCCCGCGTACCTTCGCCCAGACCATGCACTCAGCAAGGAATGGGTTGCGGTTGATAACTTGTTGCAACTGCATTGGTGAGTTCACGTGCATTCTGAGCCACACTTGTTGCATGGAATGACGACAAGAAACGACATTTCCCTAACCACTGAGGGCCTTCCCAACTGCCAATTCAATGGTTCACGGAATTGGAGAGAAGACAGCATTCCTCACCACAAGACCGGAGGACGGCTTTGAGTCCATTGTGCTTTCCTCCAAGCAATTGGAAGGATGGCGGGCCAGTCCGACATGAAACCGCATGTGTTAACTCTATCCTCAGAATGCGATACCCAAATCCGGGCTGTCGCTCGAAGACTAAATAGTGACATGATACTACAACCGACTGCTGGAGTCAGGAATTCCCACTCGCCAAAAAAAGAAAGCAGAGTCGACATGGCAGCGTGGATGCAAGCACGTTTGTAGTGCGATGAAGCTTAAGCCTGCAAGATGATAGCATTACTCTCCTCGACACTGGCCCACATACTGGTAGACACACCTTTGTCGCATCGTAGTGCCTTGACCGACCTCATTGCGCGTCGGAGTGTCCCTGCGTCAATCACGCAGCCATCTACGAGCAGTTTCGATCTGTCATGATCTGTCCTGGTGGCAGATCACTGATGAGGGGTCAGGCGTCAGCCTGCTAAGTCTTAGTAGACGCACGCGGCCACTTGAGCACAAAGCGCAAGTTGCATGCTTACAAAATGAGCCATGATGGACCTTGAGGTGGGGGGGGATGGGGGCGGGGACCAAAGGTGGCCGCCCCCCCCCTTACCTATTGAGAACGGACCAGAGAAGGTGCCGCATGCAAGTTCAATGGCAAACGACAACTCCCGCAAGCTCCACAGGGTTAGCTTTGGTGACTAACCAACCTGAAAAGGCTTCGACTGCACATGCAGTGGTGCTGTTGCTTCTGAAGCGGTTTCTTCATGCCCTCGCCTGCCTGCTCGAAAAGTCGCAATGGTGGCTGGGAGCTTCAAGCCGAACTCGAAGACCTCAACTGCCATGTGTAAGATGCGTTTCTCCTTCTCTCAAGCTCCGCGGATGCGTGCCTCGTCCATCTTCCGCAGGCACTGAAACCTTAGGCTGCCCGAACAATGCATTTGCTAGCAGACTCGCGCAGTGCAGTTTCTACATATGGCATTCATGCTTGTACGGGCAAGGGGAGTGGGCGTATAGGTAAGCCAACTCCATCAACAATACCTAGGCTGTCCTGAACTGCCGGGTGCCAGTTGCATGCACACCTCCGAAATATCCCGAAAACAATCTCAGATTGGGAAGTGACTGTCTGCATATCCTTCATCTTCCTGGCTACTCACTACTCGTTCCGAGACAGGCTGCATCTGTGCATAAGAGGCAATGATGGCGAATGCCGCCGCCCAAAACAAGTCTTCCTCCATCTCAGTGTTCCAGGTTCCCTGGCTCATAGTTTGCTGCAGGAACTCTTGTTGCGAGGTTGCTTTCATCAGCTTCGGCCCTTACTCCTGCCTTCTGCTTTGGTTCCGGTAGTGGGACTGCTGCTGCGTTCTCCAGTCGTTCCGAGCCTCACGAAACACGGTCAGACTCTCATCGAAAAGTTGTGCAACTTCTGCCCATCTGCCGCTTTGCGATATGAGCGACACCGCGCACGACAGCCCACGCCAAAACTGTTGTGGCTTGCAACTCAACAAGCGGGTGCTGGATGGTTTGCTGAGTCTCTTGCGTACCATGGACATTTGTCTCGCCAATAATGCAGCTGCCAGCGAAGGTGCCGGCACAGCTGCCTAGTTGGCGGGCCAATTGCAACTTCCGACACGCCTCCTGGACGAAGACCTAGCGCTCTGCCGTCGTCGTCGTCGTTGTCAATTTTCGCATGCTTTTGCCATAGCAGGCCTGCAGCGCCTCAACCACCGACCACAAGCCTGGACAAGCTTTTTGAAGGCCGGATAACGGGCAGGGCCCCTCCTAGTTTGCTGCGAGACACTGTATCCAAGGACAATGCTCAAGGCTTAGAGCTATGACATGCGACTGCTTTCCACGGTGAATGCCCCGTCTTCAACTTGTGCACTGGAAGTTGTCTTGCAAAACTGAAGTCATGCTTCCGGGCTCGTTCATCCAGCGGTACCTCTTTTTCCATCCAGCCAGCTAGCCTCTGCTGGGGACCTACTATAAGCTTTTGAAAGACCCCTCTACTGAAAGTTCTAGGAGCCCCGCCGCCGCACGACAAAATGACTGCACAAGTTGAATCCACATGACTTCGGCATCGAGCATCAAACCTGCTAAGCACTGCTTGCAACATGTCGCAACTACCTGTTACCAGCTGCTGAGAACTGACTTTGCGTTGTCATGCCGCAGGCACGAGCCCAAAAACACTGTTTGCTTGTGCCGAGCCCTTTCGGTCAACACCTCGGCGCAGGTTTCTGTGCACCACCGTACACCGCCATAAACTTTATGTCGCTACGTAGCATCTAGTTGGTCTGCACCCTGAGCGGCTGAACGAACCAACGTCAACAAGGTCACCTTGATTGTCGGAGGATTTTGTAACATGATGGGCGGCATCTGTCACACCTTTTCTGGATTTTCTTCCCCACCTGTGCCCTTGGAATCTGTCTTGTCCATCGTCCGCGACCTGCACAAACCAAACAAACGAGTGTGTCAGGTACATGAAAGCGCTGAGAACAACAGTGCTAATACTATTCGAAGCCATGCTTCACTGCTCGACTGGCTAGCAATGCCCCTAATGAATCCCTGTGGATTGTTACGTAATTTAGAATACTCCCCAACACAAACATGGGCTTCCCGCAGCAGCGTTTCGCCATCATCTCGACCACCAGCCACTGTGGAGTCTCGAGCTTTCACAACCTGCTCTAGGCACCGGGAAGCCATCCGACAGCAAGGCATAAAGTTTCAAGGTAGCCCGCAAGCAAACACTGCTGGGCCCCGCTGGGCCGCGTAGGAACCTTTAACAGTTTGCTCCGGAATCTTATTGTCAGCGGCCGGGTCTGTTGAGCACAAAACACAAACATCGCACGCTGCCAATGTATGCCGGCATCGAGCGGATGGCAGCATGATCACTGGAAAATTTATGCCCAAGCCTCAACTGTGATATCGAGCATGTAAGAATCGAGAAGGCCAGCCTGGGCGCGTCTTGGTTTGTGTGTGCTAGCGCCAGTGAGCCGTTTCAAGTCTCAGGCGAAGCCTTACTGAGGCAGGCTTGGGAGGGTGGCCGAGCGCGCATCAGGCTGTGGAAATACACAGAAGGTATGTCCATCTCCTTACAAGCCAGCACTTGCTGAGCAGCGTACCTCCATGTCATATATGGTCAGGCGTCTGGCGTTCCCAGCCCCCCCCCCCCCCCCAATGGTATGGTCTGCTAGGGGTGGGGGGGGGGGGGGGGCTGGCTTGCGCAGAAAGGGGTCGGGGCTGTTGGAACTGCCACTGGATGCTGGGATGGTGCTGGCGGCCAGGGCACTGGATGGTGGGATGGTGCTGGCGGCCAGGGCTCACACGCAAGCCCTTCGCAAGCAAGCCGTAAACCCTATAACGCAGCGCGTGCCCTTGTTTTGAGTAACCTTAAGTTGTACTTCCAACCCTACACCCAACCCTAAACCCCACCTAACTGCAGGCTCTAAGCCTAAAGCAGAACATACACCGCAAGTCCTCCCTAAGCCCTTGTCGACTCGAAGCGTTATACCTTGTAACCGTAAACCCAACACTCAAAAGCTTAAGCTGAACCCTGAACCCCAAAACCCCACAACCACCCCACAGGGGGAAGAGGGACCCCACACCCCACACCACAGGGGAGGGGGGGTCCCACCCTATATCCGGACCATTGACCTTTGGGGGGGGAGGGGGGGGGGGGGTGCCTTGGACGCTTGGCGTCCATTTGACGCAATAGTGTTTTCTTATATAAATCCCAAAGTTGCCACCTTCCAAACCTTTGAGCGTGGCCTTCTGAATCCAGCTAATATAATAAAAAACACGTGGGGAGGCAAAGCGCCGTGCTTCTGAATCCCACCAGTACTTGGGCGAAAATATGTTTGGACGCGCCAGTACGTGGGAGAAAGCATTCTGGTCGCGGTCCCAAATCCGTGGAAAGCCATGCAGGCCGTGGTCCAAAACCCTTCAGGATTTTGGCAGGAACCGAAGCTGAACGACTCCTGCCGGCAAAGCCTGCAGGTCGCAGCTTGTTTCATATTTTTTGGGTAGTTTTCTTCGTTTGCTAGGCTTCCTGTAGGGACCGAGTGCTGCTGCCGCAGTCGTTGAGACCCGCCCACGCCAAAAAACAACTACGTGCGAGCAGACGCTGGGGGACATGGCTCAAGGTAGGTTGCATCTGTGAAGAGATCAGCATCACTAAATTCAAGAGTTCTGAGATGCGACGCGCAAAAATGTTGGCAGGGCCAGCAAACTTCGCGGAACCAAAATTGCAGAATCGGTTTTGACTTATCAGGACTTCACAAGCTCATTCTGGGACGCCACTTCGACAGCTACGTTTTCAAGCCCCAAGTATTGTTTCAAGAAGTGGGCGCTGAGCCCTTACATGCAGCAGCGACGCTACTTTACATGTGGTTTCACTGTACTAGTAGTTGAGTTGCGCGATGGAACTCAGAATGCACGTCGTTCTTACTATGGTGACCTCGAATTATAAAGCATACACATGTGCATACATGTGGGCAAAATAGATGCAGTGAATACTTACCGGTCTAATATATAGGATCGCTTTGCTTATAAGTGGTTGGTGGGCTTACTAAGTGGATGATGGACTTATGTTGGACTTATAAAGGTGAAGACCAACTGACTTACCAGAGCACGGGCTGCGTGAGTTAAGGTCAACTTATTGTGGGGTTATTAAGTGGGATATATCGGGTGGATGTAAATATGTGGTATGAGTCACTTAGGGTTGCACTTATACATAAGTAGGGTAAGTAGGACTTACAGGACTTACATAAGAAGGAGAAGGGCACACACGTAAGTAGGTTAAGTGCACTTACATAAGTAAGTGAAGATAAATCCATATCCGTAAGTAGGCTAAGTAGCTTGAGTGGGCTCCAGAACAGCGCGCTGACTTATCGGACTTATAGCCATGACGCAGCGGAACCCACTTAGCGGACTTAGCCGGTAACCCACTTAGCCTACTTACTCGGAGGCCACGTCGCTGGACCTATCTCCCACTTAGCACCCTACTTATAACTGAGTTACAACTCAACACGACGTCGATCACAACTAAGGTTGATTGATAAGCACCTCAAGTACAACATAAATCCATGATCTGGTTATCGCAATTATAATTTAAGTACACTAATGTTGAAGCAGTTATATATCAACAACAAAACATCGTCGGACTATGGTCCATTGAAAGCATTTGGAGGTGTGGTTACCTAACTCATAGTTCATGTTACTGGACTTCATTAGTTACTTAGTAACCAGAGCACAGATCATGCAATAGCTTTAATCTATACGCATTATAAACCATGCACGCCATTATATGATTGGGCCATGGATGCTGTGAACTCACAACACATCAAACATGCACGTCAATGTGAGGCTGGGTCATGCATGCTGTGAACGCATGCTATAATTATAAACCATGCACATCAGAGCGTGTGCGTCATGCATTCCGCGCCCTCCGCCCTCAGCGCCCTCCGCGCCCTCCGCGCGCTCCGCACCCTCAGCGCCCTCCGCGGCCTCATCAGCGCCCTCACCGCCCTCAGCGCCCTCAGCGCGCTCCGCGCCCTCAGCGCCCTCCGCGCCCTCAGCGCCCTCCGCCCCCTTAGCGCCCTCAGCGCCCTCCGCGCCCTCAGCGCCCTATAAGCGCCCTCAGCGCCCTCCGCGGCCTCAGCGCCGCTCAGCGCCCTCCGCGCCCTCAGCGCGCCCTCGCGCCCTCAGCGCCCTCAGCGCCCTCAGCGCCCTCAGCGCCTCAGCGCGCCGCAGCGCCCTCAGCACGCCCTCAGCGCCCCACCGCCCTCAGCGCCCTCCGCGCCTCACCTCCGCGCCCTCAGCGCCCGCGCGCATCCGCGCCCGGCGCCCTCAGCGCCCTCCGCGCGCCCTCAGCGCCCTCCGCGCCCCAGCGCGCTCCGCACCCTCAGCGCCTCCGCGGCCTCAATCAGCGCCTCACCGCCCCTCAGCGCGCAGCGGCTCCGCGCCCTCAGCGCCCTCAGCGCCCCAGCGCCCTCCGCCATCGCGCCCTCAGCGAGCTCCAGCGCCCTATAATGCCCTCAGCCCTCAGCGCCGCGCTCAGCGCCCTCCGCGCCCTCAGCGCCCTCAGCGCCCTCCGCGCCTCAGCGCCCTCCACGCCCTCAGCGCCCTCCGCGCCCTCACCGCCCTCCGCGCCCTCACCTCCGCGCCCTCAGCGCCCTCAGCGCCCCCAGCGCCTCCGCGCCCCCAGCGCCCTCAGCGCCCTCAACGCCCTCAGCGCCCTCCGCGCCCTCAGCGCTCTGAGCGCCCTGAGCGCCCTCAGCGCCCTCCGCACCCTCCGCGCCCTCCGCGCCCTCAGCATCCCTCCGCGCCCTCACCGCCCGCAGCGCCCTCAGCGCCCAGCGCGCTGAGCGCCCTCAGCGCCCTCCGCGCGCTCAGCGCTGTCAGTGCCCTGTCCCGGGGACATGTGCTCCGACTTTGGCACAGGATGCGCTCGGCCGGTGAAAATTTCAGCGTCTATTTGACGTGTCTTTCGTGCAAATGTCTTACACTGTTGCAAGCAAGGGCATGTCAAATAGCCTGCAAGTGTCCATCACACGGGGGGGGGGGGGGGGGGGGGGGCCGCGGAGCGCGTGACCATATATGGGTATATGCACGTCACACATGATCCCGTGTTCCGGGCTGCTGCTCACCCCCCGCCCTGCCTGCCCTGCATCACTGGCAAAGTTGGATGGTGCGAGATCGGGATCTGCGTGACTGTTTCTGTGCGAGGACAGGCTGTGGATGGCAGAGGGGAACAAGCAAAGGTTGTCATCCTGCTGGAACAGGGTCAGCGGCATAATGCGCACAGGGATAAGGAGAACAGCAATGCTAGCAATATGGTAGCACTCAAAATCAGAAGAATTACGATATCGTGTCACAGGTGCTGAATGGTTTGCTGGAGCTTCGACGAAGGCTCTCTGCCAAGCTTTCAAAACAAAACGACTCGCACTCGTCACATGCCAGCTCTTTAATCGTGACAGGAACACTCCGGGCCGGCATACCATGCTGTGCAAGTTGTTGAAAAGGAATCGCATAAACTTCTATGACGTAATTGTTTACTATGTTCTGTGCTATGCACAAAGAGGCATGCCTTTCTGCACGAAATTAGTCTTCGACACATGTCACGCACGTCTCTAGATTTGCTACTGCCTGCCGCAGCATGACCCTAATAGCCTCGTGTTGTGTTGCTGTTGCCTCACAGTGCATTCCACCAGTAATGTACGGGTACATGCACCTGTGCGTGGAATGATGCTTGCTGCTGCCTGCAAAGCTTAAGCCACTCCATGCTGTGTGAAGTCGACCCAGCCGCATCAAACGCAGCGACACCACATGCCACGCTGCTTTTCAAACAGCACAACGAACGTGGATTGTCGGAGCCCTTCTCCGCATGCAACTGCAGAGGTTTCCGTACCATGCGTTGATCTTCGAACGCCGCATCCCCACATCAGAGCCCAAAATGTGTGTACCGAACATTGATCTCGGAATATCCAATGACGTGCATGCCACAGTCGATGCAGGATCTCGGTCAATGCACGAAGTTGCTGCAAGCCAGAAACATTTGGGGTCCAAACATGGACAGAGCTCAAGCATTGATTGGTATGGGGAGCCGGCATAGCGACCACCCACCTTGGTCTTCCAGGACCTCGGATGTGGAAAATGGGCAGGCTGCCACAAATTCGGCAGAGTCTACACAACTGCACGAATTTCGATGTCTCAGCATTCTTGGTCTGTCTGCCAGATGAACAGGAGATTTCTTCTGCTGTCCTAGGGGCTGTCATGCCGCTTGAAAGGAAACGTTTGGTTCAGCGTGACGTTCTCAAGAACTTGGGAATCGACGGGGGGGCCATCTATGGCCATCTCGGAGCCGGGAAACAGATGCTGATGAAAAGGCCAGACGTCGACTGAACTACTTACATTGCTACCTTGTTTTGTGCACTTGTCGCGCCCACCTACCTGCGCATGTGACGAAGTGAGCAACTTCGTTGCTTGCCGTGCTTCGTCCGAATGCAAGCCCTCCAAAGTGCAACCCGGGCTTGCAAAACAGAAACACTTGTGTGTTTAACCCGACTCTTGCCTGCTTCAATCTGCATCGTCAACGGCATGGTGTGGCATAGCAAAGACCACCAATTCGTGGCACTCACTCTGCTACAGTTGCGGGCCTCATAGGTGGAAACCAGTGCAAGCTTGCCTTGAGTTTCCATTTTGCGAAGCAGATGAGGTATTCGCTTCTTTTGAACAAGATTTTCGTATCTGCCGCGTTGACCTGACCCAATGCTCCTAACTCTAGCACGCACAGGCGGGGGCTTTGTCGCCCCTTTCCCTCTCCTTTGGCGGCAGCCCCTGCTTTATGTTGCTTTGACGGCGCACCGTCGCACCATGTTGCACGTGTTGCGCGTTCGCATGATGCACTCTTTGCTCCATCACCCTTTGAAAACGTTGGAGTCGATGCAGTTGACAAGCATGCAGGGCATATGAGGTTGTGAGGAAAGCCACTGCGTCACAATAAGTTCGCGGCTCTAGGAGTTTGGCCTGGGCGTCGGGGTCGACTCCGTAGGCTCTCAAGACCTATGGCGCAGCATGTCGCAGTGGCTTCATAGTGCAAGGGTGGATTGGGTCAGCTTGTGCTCGTCATGGTCATGCCGTTATGCAAGCAGACGCGGAACGAATCCACTCTTTAGCTGCCATGCTACATGCCAAATGCCTCGCTTCAGTTAGGCGCCAGCATCAACAAGACAAGGCTAGCTAGGTTAAGCAAACGGCGTGCCATGATGTGCCATGTCTGCTAGATGCATTCGCTATTGCGCTGGGGTTGCAATGTGTAGTGGGTAAGACATCACATGGCAGTCTGCATAGGTAGTTCAGTCGTAGTACCATGGCTAAATTGGAACATGTTGCGCATGAGTTCGCACGTTGTCGGATGACCGCCCCAGCATGTGCAGGAATACCGGTCGCGCTGCTTTACTTTGCAACTCTTCAGTCTCATCATTCACGACTGGATGTGCAAAACTGGTGCTCCCTGCCTCATGCACTTCGCCCCAAATTTGCAAAACCGCATACTCGCCTGTCCGGTGCGCGGGAACGGAAACAATACAGGTGGCCAAGCCTTGTCACACTGCCACTTCTGCTACCCGAGGGTGCCCATCCAACTCGGCTCTATGGATTTTTTGTCTCCACCAACTAGAAACGGAAAGTGATTTGCAATGCAAAAGGCAGAGTTGGACCACTGATTCCTGCGCACATGAGGAACATGCCCCGCAACCTGCCAAAGAAAGCAAGGACGCATGACAAACATAGGGACAAACGGCTGCCGCGACATTCGATGACAATGACGACTTCTGGGAGCACTTGTTCGCAAAGGGTCGAAAACACCTCAGTGCTAGTCCGGCAACGAAGCATGTTCTGCATGTGCACGTTGCAGCAACCACTGCGGTCACGAATTTCCTGGCACATGCATAAGCAACTCCGTATATTAGAAGTCGTGATCTTTCAGCACCATCCGCCAGACCTCGAACATCTTCGAACGGTTGCTTACGCACCGTTCAAACCCGATGTCCCGGTCCCTCTTTGTGCCCATGCATGAAGTCATCGCGACATGAAGACAAACTCGAGCCTGTGGATAACTCGAACAAGCCAGATAGGGTTTGGACCCCGGCATCGGCAATTCCGAGAACACAGCCCAACTCGAAGCACCCACTCGAAGCCCACCCACAAGCCGGAACAAAATTAGGCAACCTCACGGGGAGATGGTGGGTGGTTCAATAATCCTAGATCCTCACAAGCTAAGCCCTGAAAGATCGGTTCCCCAAAAACCCCTGATGAGTTGCAGAAACTCAAAACCTTAGAACCTACCACGTATGCCTCTGTTTCGGTGACTCCGGCGAGGCGATGTATACATTCATGGTCGAACTGCGTGCAGCGCTTTCGCGTCGTGAAGCTGCCGGTGCCGGTGCGTAGTGGCGCCCTGAGTGTCGCCTGAGTCGCCTGGTCATGCCTGGGGGATTGAGATGGCGTCCAAGTGTTTCGCCTGGAGCTGCAACCTAACGTCTTTTTGTCTCTCAAATACCTACTTGCTCTGATGCACGACCACATTTCCGCGAATTTCACGTCCTCCACTACAACAACAACGACAACTTTTACTACTATACTACCACCACTATTCGAACTTCAGAGTCGGGTGTGTCTTGCGTAGGATAGGAAAAAGCTCGGAAGCCGGGAAACCCCGACATCCACGACAAGAGAATCTATAGAGTTTCCAGAAACCAGAAGCCGGCAGGACCTGAAGAAGCAAAAGTGCCACGGAGACCCGAAAACAAAATGTTAAGAACAACGAGACCGCTCCCCCGACACAATTTCCTCTCCGTCAGGGAGCTCCCGCATAGTCAGACATAGTCATTCTCACACACTGCCACTCCCACGGTGCTTCTACCCAACTACCTGTTAACACATCCGATAAAGGTACGACGAGAGGAAGAGCGAAATTAATTCACGATGACATGCTCATCCTTGCCGTGCCTGCATTGTGGAACATCCTGAGCAGATCCAACAGCAGTCCGTGCTTTCATCCAATCTGTCGCGAATCAAACAAGCAAGGCACAAATTTTCCCGACGATTATCTGATTGTCGTAGCATCTGAATGGCCATTGCTGCTGAGAATCTTCACGCAGGATCCAGCACCACCCTGGCGACAAGAAAGCCGCGAATTCTCATCTTCAGAGCAGGAGACGAATGCCTTTCCGTTCATTGTCGCGCATGGTCGCCCATCGGCTGCTTTGGCAGCCGCAGCCTGCTCCGCTGTCAAGCACAAGCAGGATTGTGCAAAGTGTTTGCCACCCTTAAAGACATCCGAATGTGCGGCGGATGATATCGCTTTTCCGACGCAAATCATTTCTGCATCTACAGCATGCGCTGCATGGCATTTTAGAACAGCCTCATGACCGCATATGTACAAGTCTTTAAAGCTTGCTAGTTGTATCTGGGCCCTTCCGCAGCTTCGCAAGGTCAGCCCGAATGGCACGCTTCTGGATCTTCTCGGTCGCTCCTGCAAGCTGCTGATGTGCACGACGGCGTGAATACATAGCTTAAACTTAGGAATGCTTCGGGTATCTTCAAGACTGAATTTCTAAATGAGACACATCTGTTTGATAAATCCTGTAGTGCGTTCTGAATGAACCTTTCGTGGAAATGCTTCCTCACTCGGAATCTGACCCACAACGCCTCACAACAGCAGTTTCCAGAAATTGATGGAAGGGCTGGAGCATCTTGTTCACTAATTGAGGATGTTGCAGTTATTGCACGACAGGAAACTTCCAAGGCCAATCGAGTGGCCCCAATCGCTGCTGTTAAAAGTAGCTCGACCGGAGTTTCGTTTGGCCATTTTCCGTTGTAGAGTGGAGCGGCCCATGCTCTGCTGTGTAGGATCCTCTCGGAAGAGCTTCGCCCGGCCAAGAGAAGAACTCCTTCGCGGAAGGTTCGCGGCTTGTGCTGAACACAATGAGGTAGGAAGGATGCGCCGGCTGCGCAAACATTCACAGCCGGCCACATGCTCGCAAGCATACCAGTCCTTTGGAACCATGTGGCGTGGCAGTCGCTCAGCCGCGAAGGCACGAAGCTCATCCTGTGTGCAGTGCTCATCATGCGGGCTTGCGTTTCTGGTGCCGCCGTTTGGCTAGTGCTGCTTGCCACAGGCAGTCTTCGCTCAAAATGGTCTCTGTGATGTGCAGCTGTCCTCCTTGGGTGGCGTCTTGCCTTTCCTCAGCTCTGATTGCATGAAGTAAGGCAACGATGCAGCATGTGAGTCGCAACCGTGGCAAAAGAAGTAGAGTCTGAACAAATTTTAGTTAAGATGTCTCAAGCGTTCGAAAGAAAGTGCAAGCCCTCTTCGCCGAGAGACCGGAAAACAATGGCCACCGCTACTGTCTCTCCCAGTGCATCGTCAGGCATCCTTGGCCAGGATTTGCATGAAAGTCAGCAAGCAATTCGAAATCCTGGTTCGCACGTCTTCTGTACTTTCCATGACCGCAAGATCCCACCAGAGGGCATTATTAAGGCTGTGTCCCTACAGCTGCCACCTCTGCAACATCAGGATGCTCGTAAAGTGCAGTCTCCACCTTGCAAAGATGCTTAATTCGGGTGCAAACTTGGCCAGCACAGCGCAAGTGAGCTGGAAGGTCTAGCATCGTGCTCTTCAAAGAAAGCGTTGACTGTCACACAGGAGCTATTCGTCCCAGCGCTGCAACGTGGGACTGCTCGTCTACATGCCAGCATGATGCCGCACCCTGGCAAGCTCGTGTGTCCTTGCCTCATTGGCTGAGATGTTCTCTCCTCCTGACATCGATTCCACTCATGATGTGATGTGACGGGAATCTTCGGCATCACGCGGTCAAGGGTTGCAGCAGCCTCGAATGATGATGTCTTTCGCACGGTCCATGATATACCTGTGGGCAGTTGACTGTACCACTCGTTGGGATGCCTTCTCAGGACATCATGTTGATATCAGGCACCCAGTTAGTCAAGCAATACTTCAATACTTTGTTCTCCCAGCGAGCTAAGGCAACCCAAGAACAAAGCTCACTGCACCGCGTGCACTAGGTCGAAAACCAAGGGACACAAAGTCATCCTCATCCACCGCTCCAATGTCACCAGTTCGGAACCAAAGCTCTCCATGTTCATCCACATGGAAAGCTTCTGCCGTTCGGTCCTGAGCTTCAGTACTGGGAGACGGCAGTTTTGGCATCCGACTTTGGTGTGAAGGGCTGTGGACTGTGGACGTGTCTTTCAAAACCAGCCTGCGAAAAGCCTCGCCTGATCGGCCGTCTACAAGTAGATCAAATCTCAACGCCATGTCTTGAGTCTTGAGCACTTGCTGATCGTGTCGCAGCTGGGGCTCAGGTTTTCTCCAGTACTCTTGCATGATGGCTGGCCCCCGTAAGCCTGAGCAGCGCCGAAAACGTGCGCTGCAGCACGAGCAGGCTAGGTCCAGATCGCCCGGGCAGGTTGTCGGAACCTGCCCCACATGAAATCAAGAAACAAATCTCGCCGACTCCTCCAGGGGGCAATTTGGCATCGCCCTCTCCCAAAATGCAAACCTCGCGGGCGCAAACAACTGCTTCACGTTGGGATGGTGCCTTTCGGCAGGGCGATTCGGCCGGAGCCCATGACAGTGCCGGGGCTCGTCGACGTTGACGACTGGAAGCCCACAAGATGTTGGACGTTCAGGGAAAAGGACTGCCGGCATAATGACGCTGACTGCATTCGTCTCCTCGGGCGATCCATGCGGCAAGAAACGAAACATGCATGCTGACGTTCATGTGCTGCACGAGTTTCGGTTAGACCATAGCCAGTGCCAGCTTTAGCCTAGGCACAGCCGACGGAATGGGAGCACATTACAAGTCTGTCACCACTTCTTGCACAATTCCAGCATTGCTCCTACTGCAAACGGCAGTAATCGTGCGGACTGCAAGCTTTCTCGAAGGTTTGACGGACACGCTTGATCATCGGCGCAGCAAAAGCAGCACCGCCACCACCGACGTTCGTCATCGATGACGTATCAAACTTCTTGAAGTCCGGATGATTGACCTTAGTCCAAACAGACAGAAAGGACCACGGAACATCCACAAACTTAACCCTTTGCAAACACGTCCAGCAAGTGATGAACAGATAGTCATGCCAACCAGACGAGACTATGTCCATAAATTTCGCCGAATCATCTCGACTTAAGCATGCCGGCATGCGTGTCCCGAAAATTATGGATGTCGGCAACCGCAACATCTGCTCAGGGTGTCGGCTTTCAAATCCACAACATCATTGTCCTTTCCTTCCGGCCGATGGACAAGAACACGAATAAAAGATGCGGAAGACCCTCTTCCCTCTCGTGCAGTCTCCAGAGTTGAACCAAAACGCCTGCCTACCACATGTCACTCCTTTTTCTGTCACTTCTGCACAATCAATCAACCAATCAGTCCATGGCTGCAGCTGCAGCAGACTCCATACAACGTCGCCCTGTCGTTGAACCAGCAAACTACACCCTCTGCTGACGGCGGGTGTGCTCTTGCTGGCACCCCTCTGCCACGAGCATCCGTGACGAACCCAGGCGGAGCTTCAGCACGTGTGCACAAGTTCTTGTGGCATGCGCAAGGGCAGGCACTACAGAAACATGTCTCAATGGAAGACAGCCCTTCTCTCCCTTCTACTGGGCCTTCGTACCCATCGTTCTTGATTGTGCCGACATTCAGGCCGAGAGATGGAAACAGCCATCTGCTTGGCACAGCACCACTCGTTGGACGTGCAATGCCGGCGATTCAGGCGTAGCACTGGCACTCGCAAGGATGTGCAATGCAAATATGTTGTCACCACAAGTGCTGTACCTTCGGCCAGTGGGTAGACGACATTCAATCGTGGCAGGGCAATGAGGAGATCGCCACGACAGGTTTGTCACCCGTGCTTTCGGTCAAGCCACATACAGTCGGCCCCCGCCCCCCCAACACCGAGGAAACGAACGTACGATCCGAAGCTAACTAACATCATTGCGAGTTGTAGTTTTCCATGACGGCCAACACTTTCATTTTGTATTAGTCTCTCATAGCCCTCTCGTCGGCAAGACGGGCGTGATACAACTGCCACACACTGTTCATGATATGTCGCTTTCGCTAACACATTGAAGGTGACATTGATGTCCGAGTCCGGGGTAGACCTGCGCCAGGTCGCAAGTGGTGACATGAACCAGGACTAGTCCCAGCGAGCCCAGAAGCTGTGATTCAGTAAGGGAGGTGTTCTGTCGTAAGGCATGCTTCGAGCAAAGCCAGCGACACATTCATCACAGTAGTGCCATGGCAAGAAGCATTCGCACATGGCACCTCGGCAGTCGATACGAAGCAATACAGTACAAAGCACGCTCTGGAGGTGGCCACAAACGACGGTATATGATGGTCTATGCAGATGCACGATCTGACAAACCAAGGTAGTTTGAGATAGTTTGAGGGCCGCGAGCTGCATCACATCGATGCGGCTTCTCCAACTTCATCCGAGAAAGGAGAGTACCATGCCCAAGTGGAGAGAATATGTCTACTCCGTAGACTGGGTGCGAGTGCAGAGGCAGAACCCCACGGTGCTTGAGGATACTTCGTAGCGGTGACATACGGGTCGGAAGAACGCAGGGGCTTGCCAGGATAAGTCAGTGGAATAGTGAATAGTCCAAGTGAGTTGTTGAATGAAGTCTTCAGCCGGGCAAGCGGCTCGAACAACGGCACTGTCTGCCCTTCGGAAAGGATGATGCTCGGAGAATTATCCCGCCGCATTGAGTGAAAGTACTCAATTGTGAGTGTGTTTACCTGGGCGAAAAACGAACCCAACATCAGTCTGCAAGCATCCGCGTCTTGAGGAACTGCAAACTGGCGTCCCCATTCCTTTCGGTGGCGATGCTGTGAGTTCTTAAGGCATTATTACATCTGCCGGTGTATGTTTGGAACGACAGCTCTCGAGCCGGTTGCTAGCAAACGCTCAGAGCTTTGGAAGGACGCAGCGGCACGGGAGGGCGATTGGAGGCCTCTGGTGGCACAATTTCGCACATCCGAGTAGCCGCGTGGCTCTCGGTATCAGCATGCCAGGCGATTCGGGGCGCGATCGTATGCACAAGTCATGCATCAGAAGCGCTGGAAAGAACAGCTGCTTCGGTTTGGGTGCATCTCGATTCCTCGCTAGGTCAACCTGCCGCACATACAGTCGATTTGGCTTATATCACGGATCTTGCTCTGCAAAGAATTTATGCCGGAAACGCCCATGGCAGGT